TCAGGTGGGCCCAGCACTTCCTCCTGTCCCCGCCCATCCTCTGGGGCAGCTGCCCTCTGCCCCCCAGGCCTCCTTGCTTCCTGAAGCCAGGGTGCAGGTGGAGGAGAAACACCAGGCATGGGCCGAATCCCCTTCCTTCCCTCGGGTGTATCCAGATGAGAAATTCTAGAGAGGTAGAGACAAGGCCTCTAGGGACCCCCATGCCTGGGCCCTGGGTCTCAGGAAGGGAGGTGGGAAGAAGGGGCCCCAGGCTGGAGAGTCGGGGTGACGTGGTTGCCAGCAGGCCCCCCTGTGTGCTTCTTTCCAGATCTGACAAAACCCTTCAAGACATCGTCTACAAATTGGTCCCTGGGCTTTTTAAAGGTACCTACACCCTTCATTGTCCTGCCACCCCCCCTCCCCCACTGCCCAAGCGTGTTGCTCCCCGCCTAAGCCTGCTCCCTCTCTTCTAGATGAGATGAAACGGAGGCGGGATTTCTACGCAGCCTACCCCCTGACGGAAGGTGAGTGTGTTCACGTGTGTGCGCACACGTGGTGCTGCCCCAGGTATAAGGGCCAGATGCATGGAGGGCCGGTGGGCACCGCACACGGCCTCCCCAGCCCAGGGGTGGCTGGGCTCACCGCACTGAGTTCTGAGATCCCTGGGTCCTTGGTGGGGCTCCTGCCCCCCCTCCTAGGCCGACGACTCAGAGCTCTCTCCTTCCGCAGTTCCCAATGGCTCCAACGAGGACCGTGGTGAGGTTCTGGAACAGGAGAAGGGGGCTCTGAGCGACGACGAGATTGTCAGCCTCTCCATCGAGTTCTACGAAGGCGTCAGGCAAGTCTGGCCCATGCCTGGTCCTTTTGGGGTCCTAGGCTGGGTCCCTTCTCCCATGCCGTCCCCATTCCCCTGGGAGGAAAGGGTGCTTCCAGGAGGGCCTTCCGGATGTGTGCAGTTAGATCCTGCCTGCTCCAGGGTCTCCCTTGTTTCATTCCTTCTCCTAATGCAGGGACCGGGAAGAAAAGAAGGGCCCCCTGGAAAATGGGGATGGTGACAAGGAGAAAGTGAGTGCTGGGGCCTGGGCCTGCCCAGGAACGGGGTGCGGGCTGGGAGAGAGTGCCGGGGTGGACCCCAGCCCTTGGGTGCCTCTCCCCCACCAGACAGGGGTGCGCTTCCTGCGATGCCCAGCAGCCATGACTGTCATGCATCTCGCCAAGTTTCTCCGCAACAAGATGGATGTGCCCAGCAAGTACAAGGTGAGTCCCTGGGCCCTTTTGAAAAACGTGTCCGTGTGTGGATGTATCTGACAATCTGTGCATCTCAGCCGTTGTTCAGGTCTGGCTGGGTGTCACCAAGGGCCTGCACGGTTGTGTAATTGAGCCCGTGTAGAAGGGTAACTGAAAACTAGATTGGGGTGGGGCAGTCTGCGTCTGCTGAAGCCAGTGTGCAGAGGTGCAGGAGACCAAGATGGTGTGTGTGTGTGTGTGTGTGTGTGTGTGTGTGTGTACGTACATGCTTGCACGTTTAGAACTATGGCAGAGGTGTGTGTGTAAAAATGCAGGGCCTTACCTGGGCCAGCTGGCTGTGGGAATGCTAGTCTGAAATTGCCAAGGAGCTTTAGGACATTGCTTCTCAAATTTGAATATCTATATGATCCCCTAGAGATCTTGTTAAAATGCAGATGCAGGTTCTTTTTTTGGGGGGGGCTGTGCCTAGAGGCATGCGGCATCCTAACCATTGGACTGCCAGGGAAGTCCCAAAACGCATATTCTGATTGAGTAGATTTTGCATTTCTGGCAAGCTCCCAGGTGCTTCTGGTGCATGGACTATTGAGGCTCTAGGACAGTGGATCCCAAACTTTGCCACATGTCAGAATTACGTGAGGGGTTGCCTATTGAGATTAAAACTCGATTCATGTCATACCAGTTCAAACAATCTCTGGGAGTGAGATCCAAGCACTGGTGTGATTCCACTGTGCAGCCTGGGTGAGACTCCACGAGTTCCTTCTCACCTGGGCCTTTTCTTTGCCTGTTAGCTCCTCTGGAGAACATGCCAGAGATAGAAGGCGACCCAGACCACCATGTGGATTGCTGGGGCTGGGGCTATTGATGATGTGGGTATCTTCCCTTGCCACCTGCTGGTCAGGAGTTATGTTGGAACAACTCTGATAGGGAAGTCGAATCCATCATGAAACCCCAGAGTAATGAGGGATCACCTGCTTGGAGCCTCTTTGCCAAACAGCTGGAGGCTCGAGCTGTGTCCTCCCGTTCCTCCTCCAGGTTGAGGTTCTCTATGAGGACGAGCCGCTGAAGGAATACTATACCCTCATGGACATCGCCTACATCTACCCCTGGCGGCGGGTGAGTGGGTGGGGTGGTGCCAGCAAGGGGACAGGGCCGAAAGGGGACACTGGGCCATCACGTGGGCCACCCTGCTCTAATCACAGACAGTTTATCCCTCGTCTCATGAGCTGGTCATGTCCAGGGTGGCCTGCCACACACCAGGCCCACCTCCGGACGCTCTCTCACTGATGACTTTCCGCACTCAGAAGGAGAAAAAGATCCCTGGGCAGACCACGTGCCCCAGTTTGGGTGTGGAGGAGTGAACTTCGCCTTCTGCTCTTCGGCCTCCCTCTCTCCTTTTTCTGTCTCTGGTCTCACGTGCGCTCTCTTCCTCTCTGGGTCTCTGTGTGCCCGTCTCTCTGGCCTTGCTTGGTCAGTCCCACGTCGCGTGTCTCCTCCTCCCTATCCAGTCTTTCTTCTCTCCAAGGCCTGGACCTTCCCTTCTCCCTGTTTGGGTGCCATGGGGTGAAGGTGGGTGGCTGCCCCATTAGCCTCTTTCTCCTGACGCCCTCCCCTCCCCTCTCCCTGCAGAATGGCCCTCTCCCCCTCAAGTATCGCGTCCAGCCAGCCTGCAAGCGGCTCACCTTGCCCACAGCGCCCACCCCCTCCGAGGGCACCAATACCAGCGGGGCGTCTGAGTGTGAGTCAGTCAGCGACAAGGCTCCCAGCCCTGCCACCCTGCCGGCCACCTCCTCCTCCCTGCCCAGCCCAGCCACCCCCTCCCATGGCTCTCCCAGCTCCCATGGCCCCTCAGCCCCCCACCCGACCTCCCCCACGCCCCCCACCACAGCCAGTGGGGCCACCACAGCTGCCAACGGGGGCACCTCGAACTGCCTGCAGACACCGCCTTCCACCAGCAGGGGGCGCAAGATGACTGTCAACGGAGCTCCCGTGCCCCCCTTAACTTGAGGAAAGGGACCCTCTCCCTCCTTTTCCAGCTATGCCTCTCCACCCCTCCACTTTTTCTGGGCCCCCTTTTCCACCTCTTCTACTTTCCCCAGCTCCCCCCACCTTAGGGGTCAGGGATGGGTTTTATAAATAAATCTATATATATATGTACATAGGAAAAACCAAATATACATACTTATTTTCTATGGACCAACCAGATTAATTTAAATGCCACAGGAAACAAACTTGATGTGTGTGTGTATGCGTGGGGGATGGGGTGCTCAGTTTTAGGCGGTCTTGTGTAATTTGCTCTGCTCTTTTTGGGGGTGCCTAGAGGTGGATTGGTGGGACCACTTGAGGCTCGGTGAAGCCCTGCCCCATCCTCCTTCTGTTTCCCAAGGCATATGCGGTGTTGGAGGGGCCCCCACCAACCCCCAAAGCTTTAGGCACGACTCGAACTGGCTGTGTATGAGGTCCACCCTGCTTCTCTCCCCATCTTGGCTGCTGTCCTGCCCTGACCCTGACCAGTACCCTCCCCCCCACCACCATTGTTGAATGTCCAGAGAATTGCTAAGACAGTGCCTTTTACAAATGCAGCCTATCCCCTGGTTCTGAGGAGCAAGTGGGCAGTGGAGAGGGCACCTCCCTTACCTCCTCCTCTTGCAGTAGAAACTTTGTGTAATAGATAGTTCTGCCTTTTTTTTTTCCCCGTGTGTGTGGCCTTTGCATCATTTATCTTGTGGAAAAGAAGACTGAGGCCACAGAAGACCTCAGCCCTTGAACTTGCACTGTGGTGTCAGCACTGTAAACCGCTTCAGCCCCTTCCACGCCCCCCACCCAGGAGCCCGCACTAGCAAGGCGGATGGGGAAGTCTCACCTCGGGGCCTGTAGTGGAGAGGTGGCGGCGGGGCGGTAGTTGTGGCTCACGGGCTCTAGAGCGCAGGCTCAGTAGTTGTGGCCGGGGGGGGGGGGGGGGGGGGGCGGGGGGGGGGGGGTGGGGTGGTTGACCTCAGATAAGCACAGACCCCAGATTTTGCCAAAGGCAAACAGTCCTCCAGTGCCCTCCCCACCCGCAGCTGAGGCCAAGTCAGGAAAGAACGACAGGCATCTAAAAGCACAAGAAGACAGAACCTGTGAGATCTGACCTCAACTCCATCCCAAGAAGTCGAATGGTCTGCCCCCTGAGGGGCAGACCCCAACAGGCCCCTGCCCACCAGTGTTTCCTCCAGTGGACATAGGTCAGATCGGGACGAGGGGAGGAGGCGACACTACCACAGCCTATGTGTTTGGGGTCAGGTGGCCCCCAGCGTGTTTGTCTGTTCACACCTCGTCCTGTGTCTGAGGTGCTGCGGCTGTATCCTGGGACATCTGTATCTCCTGGCTTTGTAATAAATGCTGCATACTCTCCAGAGCCTGTAGTTCTTTGGGATAGAGGGGACAGGGAAAGGGTGGCTGGGTGCCCTGGCCTCCTCCTCTCATCTCTGGGCTCAGCCTGCCTTGGGGGACCCTATACGAGCCCCCTCCCTGTGGCCAGTCAGGTGCCCCAGCCCATGTTAAGATCCTGAAGGGGGACCGGTCATGTCCCTCACACCAGTGACCACAAGAACGCCACTCTGGGCCGGCACACGCCTATTTAATGCCATCTTTACCAGCAGGCATTGGGGCAGGGGCCCGTTCCAGCTGCCCCAGATTGGAGACCTCGGGTTACGGGAGCAAGTCCTTCACAAGCCAGCTACGGGTACTGGGGTCCCTGGGGTGATCCCTTCTTGGGCCGGTCAGCAGCCGCCCCCTCAGAGTGGGGAGCCCACTTCTGCCTCCTGCACCCGCTCACTCCTGTGGGTGCCATCGCAGTATGGGGGCTTCTGGGTGGCCTTGCAGGTACAGAGCGCCACCATGCGGGTCTCCTGGGCCTTGAACTTGAGTGGGGATAGGCCAGTGCGTTTGAAGAAGTGGGAGCCGTCACAGAAGGGCTGGTGAGGGAAAGAAAGCAAGTTAGAGACCCAACCCCACCTGCTGAGGCGGGGCAGGGCTGGGAGACGCAGCACACAGGGCTCGGGGCCCAGACTCCTAAGTGATGCTGCCTGTGTTCCCTACCACACCCGTCTCATCTGTAATGTGCCAGTGAAAAGAGTAGCGTCATCCCAAGAAAATAAAATACATTATGGTTACTTTGCCAGTAGAAAGTGTTCAGTAAGTATGAGTCTTTACAGGAGTAGTTTCTGGGGTCCCCAGAGGACCAGGACACAAGAACAGAATTTTCAAGGCGAAATGGGCCCTTAGGTATCAGCCATGTTTATGCTGATAGGTGTTTGTTTGTTTTTTTAATGGCTCTGAGTCTCCATTGGTTCATGAAATTCATTTCCTTCTCCATATTCTTGGGGTAAAAACTTCTCTGGGTGGGCTTTAAGACTGGGGTATCAATTCTGTTTGGCTCCAGGAAATAACTGGGAAGGGGGGAAGGGGACGTCCCACAGCAAACTGGCTGCCTGGTGTGAGCATCTATGCCCTTCCATCCTGGAAGGTGTCCCTGGGTAATGGAAACAGGCCCAGAGAGGTGGTTAGCTAGTTAGTTAATGGCAGAGCTGGACCCAAGGCCTCTTGGCCTTGGAGTCAGGGTGGGATAGGAGAATGGATGAGAGAAGTGTGCAGTTAAAAATCAGCAATCTGTCCCAGAGGGCAAGAGGCAGAGAGGCACAGAGGGCCCTCCTGTGCTAGGCCTACCCGTGGGCTGCACAGCGCCACCCTCAAGAGGACCTGCTCAAAGTCCACAGCAAATCAGTGGCAAAGCGGGACTCGGGGCCCTGGGCTGCTGACACCACACCATGCCACTTGGAGGAACACAGTTCAGAGCCAGCTCAAGAAAGAAAGGGACCCCGGAGGCTAAGAATATGGGGCAGGTTCCTGCTGGATGGAAGGCTCCTGGAGCAGAAGAGAGGAGGAGTGGGGAGCAGGCAGCCAGGCTGACAAGACAGCAAGAAGCCAGGAAAGTCACCGAAACGGAGGGAGCGTTTTCAGGAGCAGATGCCAGGAAGGGGCACACAGGGCCAGAGAGGCTGTGCAAAGTCTTCCCAATGTTGGGGTCCGAGGCCTGGGAACCTTTGACCCAGATGCTTCCTAGGAGGAAGAAGGGGAGAGAGAGGGCAGAGCCCAGAGCCTCTGGGAAGGAGGGAGCACCGGAAGAGGAGGACAGAACCCTGGCTCCACCCGACTGGCCCCGGGACTGAGTTTCTGTCTCTCTGGCTGCATCTTGAAGGGGGGGATGCAGAGAACGGTGAGCTCAGGGCTGTGAGTGGCGCTGGCCCGAGAGTATCCCTCCCCCCCAGTCTCCCTTGTTGTCCTTCAGGTATGTGTGGGAAAAAGAGGAACGTCTCGGGTGGGAGTTCCTGGGCAACATGTAGCGTCCCCAACCACAGCTGTCATATATCAACGGGAAGGGGGACACAGGTCTCTCACCTGCTTCTTGCTGTGGCCACACACACACCACCTGTAGGTTTTCCCAGCCACCAGCTCCACCTTGATGGGTGTTTTCAGGGCCACCACGGACTTGGCTGGGGTTTGGGGGAACCATCGGGCCTGTGGCAGAGAAGATGAGGGAGTGAGGGTCAGCTCATGTCCTGGAAGCACTTTCTTGCCTGTGGCCTTGTCCAATTTCCCAAGAGCCTTGGCTGGTGACAGGCTTCCTCTGCAGGAGGCTGATCTGATGCCACCGTGCAAGGACACTCCCCCCAGGACACCATAAGGCCCCTGAGCTCCAGACAGAGAAGAGATTTCAAGGCCATGCAAGCACATAGGTTTCGGGGTCCAGGCCTTCCTTTCAAACCCTGGCTCTCAGCTGGGTGCAAGGGACGGGAGGCCCAGGATCCTGCCAGCCTAGGCGGGGGTAACTGCACCTAGGGCTGGGTTCATCAGGCACCGCTGTTCTCAGGGCAGAAGCCTGCTCCCTGCCCTGTGCCCTCTGGCCACTCTATCTCCCCTGAGCCATCGGGAAGGTAGCTATGGACAAGGCAGTCTCAGGCTGAAATCTACAAAGCAGGGCTGACCCATTCTGGTTCCCTCCTCTGGTCTCTACCTTTGGGGTCTCTGGGCCTGGGGGACTAGGGCAGAGAGAAGTGGAAACGGGGTATTGGTGGGTAGTACTTACCAGCCAGGAGGTGATGTCCCGTCTCTGGTTCAGCTTCTGCAAGGCAAGCAGGCATCGCAAGACGGTGGTTTGGAAACAGAAAAATATAAAGTCAACGGAAAGCGGAAGACTTCCAGAGGGAAGTCATCTGGGAGGGAAGAGACGACAGGGCTTAGGCGAGTGGGAGAAATACGTGGGTAAGAATAAGGGGTCCCAAGAGAGGAACGGGAGTTGCTGGGGGAGGTGCTGGCACCCAGCGGGCGCTCAGGGAGGGCTGCGAAGGACCAGGCGACGTAGGGGCTTGAGGGACGCTCAGCCGAAGGGCGGGCGCGGCGGGCTCGGGAGGGGAGTGGGGGGGCCGGCCGGCGGGGCCGCGGCTGCTCACCAGGGCCGCCGGCCTCAGGAGCGCCCCCGCGCCGCCCATGCCGGCCCCGCTGCCGCCAGCGCGCCGGCTCCGCCTCGCGCCCCGGTCACCTTCCCGCTTCCCCGCCTCCCACCGGCCCGGCCCCGCCTCGGCCCGGAAGACGCTGCGGGGTTCGCGCGGTGCGGGCCGCGGGCCTGCGCAAGCCGACCAGCCCCAGCCGCCGGAAGTCGGGCCGAGGAGCCGACCCCGCAGCCGCCTGGGGGGCCCCGGGGTGCGGAGGGCTCTCCGGCGCCCCCTTTGGTTCCCGCGTGTCTGCGAATGACCCGCGCGGGGAATCGCCGCTCATTTCCTTGCCTGCGCCTCCCGGGCCCCCCGCTTGCGAGCGGGGACCCTGACCGGAACCGTTTTCTCGTGCGGAGCCTTAGGGCAGTGCTTCTAGAAGCGCGGTGCGGGCACATCTCGTCGCCTCGGGAGCTTGTTTTATCGGATTCGCGCCTGGCCCAGGCCTACACATTACATTCTTATGGGTGGGGCACAGGTATCTGCGTTTTCAATATGCAGGGTATTTCGGGTATGTTGTGCATTTTGGTCTGTGAACTACTATTCCAAGTGCTTAAAGAAATGTTCATTGACCATCCCCCCACCCCCATCCCCTCCCAAGGCTCCCACGGATGGCACTCCCTCTCCCTTTCCCTTCAGTAAAGCCAGACAAAGCAGGGTCTCTTTGGTTTTTTTTTTTTTTTTTTTTTTTGTAAAACATTCTTTTATTAAAAGAACAAGTGCTGTTTACGAACTGCCCTTCGTACAAATAACATCCGTTATACAAAGATACAAGATCCGAGTTATGCACAATTCCAGGCTTGGAGGTGACAGGGTAGGGGCATTGCCTTTTGGGTTGAGGATATAAAGGAGGCTTTAGAAAGAATGAAAAAGGAGCCCCTGGGTTTGCAAACTGTAGCTTCCCCTCCCTGCTCCCCTAGGAAGGGTCTGCTACATTGAGACAGGCTGGGGCGGAAAGGGGGGGACAGGCGAGGAGCCAGGGTTAGGGTCTCCAGTCCCACCACCTAAGTCCCAAGTTGGGCTGAAGGACGTGACCAAAGGGCAATGAAGGCACGCCCTCAGTTCCCAACTTTTCAGTAGATCAAGTCAAAGTGGCTGGGAGCCAGACACACTTTTAATCTGGTTTGACGTGACCGGAGGGAGCCAGGGTACTATGCCCCGCTTTCCTGCAAATTCCCAACTGAACTGACCTTAATCCCTCCAGGCACCTCTCCCCAGGAAATAAATTGGGATAAAGGAGAACTGGAAGCAAGCTGCCTACCCTTCACTCTGGCCCACCACACACCAACCAAGGAAGATGCTGGAAGCTGGCAGGGGGAGCCTGTGCCTTTGAAAACTTGTCTGCATTTCCAGTTTGGGAAAGGGCAGTGTGGAGAAGGTCACCCTTTCTCAGAGCTGGCTCCTTCTCTTTCCTAGGCTCTGGCTCCCTTCCTAGGAGTATTTCCGTACAAGTCAGGACAGGAGTGGGCAGGGGTGCTCTCATCGGCCACAAGGGAAGGGCGCCTGGAGGCAGCAATAGACCTAGGAGTCTGAGGGGAAAAATTCATAAACAAATCGGAAAAACTTAAGAGAAGGAAAGGCAACCTTTAAAGTGTCATTGTCTCTGGAGAGGATCCATCAGCTCTGAGCTAAGACAGTCAGCGCTTCACCCCCCACCCCGGCACAGCCCTGCACTCACACCACGCGTCACACACACGGGGACAGACGGACAGCCACAAGGAGGCAGCGCAGTGGGACAGGAGAGCCGAGGACCTGGAGGCCAAGGTCCTGAGGGCTGGTCCTGGCTCTGCCCCTGAGCCCCTGCCCCTCCTAGGCTTGGAGCTATCACCTGTGAAGCAAGGAGCTGGCTCAAAAGACACCTAAAGACAGGTCCCTTCCAGCTGTGACATTCGTGCACTAGTTGTGACCTCAAGGCCAGACAGCGGCTCTGCATGCACACTGCAATCACACCTCTGCGCTGAGGGGGATGACGTACTAAGCACCACTCTGCATTTTCAAACTCCACTTCCACCCTGCAAACCACATCCTTCCCCTCCCCTAGACAGAGCCATATATAAATCTGCATCCCTTTCTACTCCCCATCCAAATTCATCCTAGAAAAAGGGACTGAGGCTGGGAGCAGGGGCGGGGGCGGGGGGAATGTCTCGGTAGCCATACCCCTTGCACTGGGACCCCACTCCGTCCTGAAGCGCTCCAGACCTTTCCTATTATAAAGCTCCCTCGAAAGAGGAAATGCACCACCGCTCTCATGTCCCCCTCCCCCAAATTGAGGCACAGCACCAATCCATACCCAGCCTGGGTCCCTTCTTCAAATCTAACCTGCCTACCTGCCACTGCACCCCAGCCTGGGGAAAGTCAGAAAACAGACTCTTGGAGGTGAGAACCCCAGACTCTCGGGTGCTGGAGGGAAGGGGAGGTCTTGGTTCCAGTGCACTCAGTCAGTTGGACCTCTCACTCTCTGCCACAGCGGCCTTGGGGTGGATTGACTTCCCTCACTGTCCAGAACAGAAGCTGACTTTGGCTGTAAGTGGGCCGGCCTTGGGCAAGGGTGTGGGTGTGAATGAGCAACTCTTCTAAGAATCTCTGAAGGTTATTTTTCTTTTCAGTGGTTTGGGGGCAGGGAGTTAGACAGCTTAATAGATGAAGATGAATAAAATGCTGAATTCTATCATTTCTTTCTAACTGATATTTAGCGTTAATAAAAAGTGAGTATTTCTGAGGTCATCACAACTGCCTCCCCCCCCAAGCCCTTGCAATTGAAATTGAATTTCCAAAGAAATTGCCTCTGAAGGATCCCACCCACCCCCTCCATTATCAGCTCCCTAACATCTTACAAAGTCTTATCAACAGGAATATTAATATTATTTTCAGTATCAGAAAAAAACCAGTTGAGCAGCACAGGCAAAAATATATCTGCACTACGTTTCTGTCATTGCCAAAAATATACACATCTTCTTTTCTTTATTTAAAAAACAAAACAAAACCAACAACAACAAAAACCCAAACAGAAACACACACACACACAAATCCACACATGCAAAGAGACTGACTAGACGTGGTCATCAGGGAAGCTGGCCACGGCCCCTCCTGGCTCCGACTCCAGTGCACCCGACACAGACACAGGCTTCAACCTCGCCCCCTTCCTGGCTGTCCCACCAGCCCTCAACCTTGGCCACCAAAGGCTCTGGGCAGGTGGGGACTCTTTAAGGTGAGAATTGCCCACTACACCCCGGGGGAAATAGCTGGTGGGTGAAGGGACAGTTGTAGGTCAGCGTAAGCTTAAGTCTCCCCTGGTGGGTGGGGGTGGGGTGCGGGAAGGCAGGCTGGCTAATCCTGGGAGGAAGGTTTCACTAAAAGAAGTGGCACTTTACCCCCCTTGCCTCATCCCCCAATCCCTGGGGCTCCTCTTTGCCAGGGAAGCAGGACCAAGTATCAGTGGGGGAAGGGGAGCGCTGAGGGGGTACTGAGACCATGTGGAGTCTGGGGGAGGGAAGGCAGGATATTACCCTGATTCAAAGCCCCCAGCCCCCAGTTACTCTCCAATATTGGAGTATGGTTCTGGTTTTTGTTAACCATTCAGGCCTCAGAGAGAGACCAAAGTTGGTGAGGTGAGAGGGTGCAAACAAGAGCTGGGAGCGCCCCTCTGATACTGCCTCATCAGAGCACTGCTCCTATCCCTGCCCTCAGCTGCCCGGGCTCCAGCGGTAGACAGACAGACAGACGGACAGACACACGCACACGCATACACGCTCTCTGAGTCAGGCAGCTCCATCTCCCCACCCTCGGCACTCCTAAATCCAATAGTGCAAACAAGGGGCAGGGGATCGAGGGGGCTGGGCCGCCCACCCCCTGCCTTCCCCAAGCCCATCACTGAGGCCCACCCCCCAGAGGTAGGGAGGCTTGGGCCAAATTTGATGCCATCCTACCCCTTCTTCGGCCCCCTAGTCTGTGGGCTTTTACAAGCTCAGCTTGTGACCCTTGTCGGGGGCAGGGGAAGGGGCCCAGCGAGAAACAGTCCAAGGAAGCCCTCTTGCCATCTGCCCAAGTTGGGAAGAAATTGCAGGTCAAATAGGGCCACCCCTTCTTCCATAAAAGACTTCCGCACAGGGGCAGGCCCAGGGCCTAGCCCCCCACTTATCCCACTCAAGTGCTAATCCATTTTACGTGGCGGGTTAAACCAACCCCCCACTTATGCCATGGCCCACTTTGCTCTCTGGGGAACCTCAAAACATTCGCTGAGAGTGGGGGCTCCTAGGCGGGCTTGGAGCCTGTCCTCCTTCTGAGCCCCTCACAAAGGGGCCAGTGCAGAGGGGGAGGGGGGCCAGATGGAAGGGGCTCCCCTCTCGGTCTCAGTCCTCGGCACCAGGAGCACCCCACACTTCCCGGGCCTCAGCACATGCTCTGGGCCAGGGCTCTCCAGTGTCTGGGTGCAGGTGCCCGCTCCAGGCTGGGACCTCTCAGACCAGGATCTGCCCCTCCACTTGGGGGGTCAGCAGGAGCCTGGGTGGCTTTAGCCTTTTTCCTGGTTGGCTGAGGCTCCTTTGTCAGCAGTCTGGAAAAAGAGGAAGGAAGACTGGGGCTTTGGGAGGTGTCTGGTCCTAACACCCAGTTGAGAATAGCTTCCTGGGTCAAGAAAGCTGATGTTGGGTGCAGTAAGGGTCTGGGCTTTGGCGGCTGCACACCAGGGTCACCTTGTGTGTGTGTGTGTGTGTTTGGGGGAGTTGCCCTGCATAGGGCACCCAGCTAAGCAGGCATGTGCCAGCTGAGGGCAGCACACGGGCTCTGGCCCTTTGCCCTCAGAAGGAGAAGGGAGGGCCTTTCTTGAAATGGCCCACCCAGAGCATCATCATCTTCTAAATGGTCCAATCAGAGAGGAAACAGCCTTTCCTAAAGGGTCTCCCCAGAGGAACGCCGTTTTCTAATCGGTCCTTTCGCTATTAGCCCATGTGCAAAGTGTACCTTTCTTGGATCTGCAGGAGGGCACCCATGTGCTGGCAGAGGCCCTGGGGTCTAGAGCAGGGCACTCCGCTGCCCTAGGGGTCGCTTCCTTCCTCCTGATGATGATGCATCTGATGATGCACCTTCTAATGCTCCCTCGCTGCCCATCCAGGAGAAGGGAGACAGGACGGTCCCTCTGCCCCACTCCCGGCCCCTCCCCCAAGCCGGACCCCTTACTTACTCCTCCTTTGGGGCCACTGCCACTGCCATCCGCCCCCGACAGGCTGAGGAAGGGGTTGGTCTGGGCAGTGAGGACTGGAGGTCCGCCTGCTGCTGCTACTGCTGCGGCCGCAGCTGCTGCGGCCATGAGACTTGTGTTGTTGCCGAGTGAGGGAGCCACCAGGGCTCCGGCGGGCAGCAGAGGTGGGGCAGATGCTGTGGGCAGCAGGCCAGGAGTGCCCGCGGACAGCAGCGGGGTGGAGCTCCCGGCCAGCAGGCTGGCCATGGGCAACTGGGAGCCCCCGGCCATCTGCAGCCGCTGCAGCTCCCGCTTCTGCTGGATCTGCTGGATCATCTGGTAGACAACAGTCTGGTGTTCCTGCAAGGGGGCCAGATTGCTTACTGGCCAGTGGTCCCCAGGGTCATCTTGCCCTCATTGGCCTGGGCACCATCCTATCACACCAGGACCATGAGGCAAAAGACCTGGGAGACACTCAAGGTTCTGTCTAACTCCCTCCTCTGGGCCTCAGTCTCCCCACCCAGACCAGAAAGTGGTTGCACACCGTCAGCATTTGTCAGCCGGGGCACTACCGGCCAAGTGCAGGGGGTTTAACATCCCTGGCCCCACCCCCCCCTCACTAAATCAATTCCTCAGTTGCTATGACAACCACAAATGTCCCCAGGGATGGTATGACCTCAAGTTGAGAAACACTGAATGAGGTCAATAGTTTTCAACCCCCCTCTTTTTCATTTGTTTTTTCCCTTAAGAGTCATTTATTTTTGCTTTGAATAGGCAAAGCATTTTCAGTGTTCCAAAACCCAAAGTGATTTATTAAGGCTTATCTTCAGAAATCTTGCTTTTACCCCTGCTGCCATCTGGCCTCTGTAGATATAACCAATTGAATTGGTTTCTTATGTATCTTTCTCATATTTCTTTATATGAAAACGAATGTTTTTCTATTTTTTCAACTCCCTCCTTTTGAAAAGGAAGAATTCCTTTCCTCCAAAGGAATTTTTAGCAGAACTCAACACACAAGAAAGACCTAAAAGGGGCTGCTCTGGTTGAGGCGGTGTCTGTCACCTGCTTGGCCCCCGCTCTACGCAGACCCTGAAGTTCCCCACTGAAGAGCCTTGGGGCTGGAATTGGAAACGCTCAGTAACTGAGGACTCACCACCCTCCAGATCCTCTCGCTAGGATGTGATCTGGGGCCACTACAGCATCCCTTCCCCAGTGCCCAGGGGCCCCCCCGAGAGGAGCCCTTATGCCCTCTGACCCCACGTGACCCTTAGGGGCAACCTCCACCCAGCCCGGGGCTGCCCTCCCTGGGCTGGCCCAGACCCTCCGAGAGGGCCCTTCCAGCAGAGCTGGGGGAGGGGAGGTGGCCCAGGAAGGGAGGGGCATTACCGGGGTCAGCTGTGGGGACGCCAGGAGCTGCTGGAGCTGCTGGAGCTGCTGCTCTTGCTGCTGCAGGAGGTGTCGCTGCTGCTCGGTGAGGCTGAGGCGGGGTGGGGGTGGGGGGGACAAATCACAGACCATGGGAAGGGACGGCGGAACCCTCCTCGCCTGCTCCCCTAACTTCCCAGACTCCCTCAGACCCAGGTGGGGAGAGGCAGGGATGTGCGATATTAGAGGACTAGAGCGAAACGGACTGAGCTCAGAGAGGACAGTGGGAGGGAGGCACATCAGAGGGAAGAACTTTCCCAGAAGGGAAACCTAGGCTAGCTAGGGTACAAGGCATAAACAGACGCCTTTGTCCCTGGAGAGCTACCATCCGGAGGGCACTCACATCTAACATCTAAGGAGAACCTAGGGTGACTAGATTCTAGACCCTGTAAGATCAGAGGACAGCTTTCCATCTGAGGAACTGTGGGTGTTTGGGGGGATTCCCTCCCAGAGCCAGCCTCCCCCTTCCCTTCCCCAGACTGAGCTCTCCCTCACCTGTTGAGACAACCTGGCAGCTGCAGCGCAGGGGCCCCGCCAGCCTGGCTCAAGCCCGCGGGGTTGGGGGCGGCAGCCCCATTCAACCCCCCCAGGAGCCCATTGAGGGGCAGGGCCCCGCTGCCCACCAGCCCCCCCAGCAGCCCCTCAGCCAGGGGCATAGCCCCCAGCCCCGCTGCCCCGGGTGCCCGGCCTAGCCCATTCTGTGGCTGGGGCGGGAGCGGGGCAGGGCCCCCAGGCAGGGCCAGGGGCAGAGTAGCAGGGCTCTGCTGGAGCAGGGGCAGCGGTGGGGGCGTGCTGTGGAAGGACAGCGACGAGCTGCTGCGGCTTGGGCAGCCTGAGTGTGGGTCCTGGGGAGGGAGGGGGAAGGGAGGGGTCAGAGGGGCAGGGGGCCAGCATGACCTTTCTGGCCCCCGGCCCGGCACCCACCAGCATTCTCACAGAGCACAGCCACCCCACCTTCCCCCAGGCAGAGCCACCCAGGAAGAAGCAAGGCCCGGGGATAAAGGATAAGAATCCAAACAGTCTTCACAAGTCACTTCCTAGGGGCCCAGCACCCCTCATGATGCTTGTTTAACTCTGAACAGTGATGACGGTAGTGACCACCTGGTGAAACAGACCCAGGGTTCAGTGCCTGACCTGTACTAACTCGTTACTGCCTTTTAATGGGTGAAACCACTGGTTCTTAGACAGGCTAAACAACTCTGCAGGCAGCTGGAGTGAAAGATTCAGGCTCAAATCCCATGTCCACAATTTAATGGCTTGAGTGGCTTCTCTGTTTTAGTTTCCTCACTCATAACACGGGGGTAAGAGGAGAACCTATTCCATAAAACTATTGTGAAGACGAAACACACAAACCCTTTAAAAGTCTCAGCACAAGACATGACAAAGGGCAAGTATGCAATTAATGCCGGTTACTATTATGACTATTGTTGCCCAAGTCACACATTTAGAAAGTAGCAGGGAGAACAAGAACCCACTTTGTTTGATTTCCAGAAACAACCACAATATAACAATAGCAACGGCTCCCCCAACCGCCAGCAATTACACGGGGATTATTTTGTGTGCAGCTACAACAAACTATAATAAACTCTTCACAAACACTTCTCAAAGAGGCCTTCCCTAACCACCTTATATTCAGAGAAGAACCCCACCCTCCATTCTTTCTCATAGCCCTCAAATTACTTCCGTCTTAGTACTTTTCCTGATTTGTAATTATTGATCTTCTTGGATTGAGCCTGTCTCCAGGAGCAAGACTGTCCGATTTGCTCACTCATTGCTTACCCAATGCCTGGAGCTAAGTAGGCACCTCATAATTATTACTTATTTAATGAAGGAATGAATGCGTCAGTCAACCAATTACTCAGCCAATCACTCCATTGTCCAGCCTCCAATAGCCGCAAGGTAGAGATGCAACTAGAAGGCCCTTGCACCTCCCCACTCCTGCCCGTCCCTGGTGCCCCTCCCCGTGGCGCCCACCTCGGAAGACGTGGACAGCGAGTTGTCCAGGCCCAGACTGTTCTTCCCCGGAGGGCTCTTGCTGGTGCTCAAGGAATCGCTGCTGCCGGCTGAGGGAGGGGGATCACGGAAGGAGGTCAAGGGCTGGAGTCAGAGCCAGTTCCGACCGCACAGCAGAGGCCCCCATCCCCGGGCTGGGTGGGATTCCCCTTACCTTGGGGAGGCAGGCCATAGGGCCCAGGGACAGGGCCGTTGGTGGCAGGCAGGGCGGCAGGCAGGGCGGCGAAGGGCACAGAGAGTTGCACGTTGAGAATCTGCAGTCGCTCTTTCTTAGCCGTAAGGCTCAGGATCTGCTCCTGAAGCCTCTGGTTTTCCTTCTGCAGTGCATGCAGCGCCTTCAGCATCTCCACGACTGCAGACAGAAGGTGAGAGCGCCTGAGCCCCGCCGGCCTGGAAAGGCTGGGGGCGGGGCCAGGTGACCGGGGGGCGGGGCCTGGAGGGGCGGGGCCTGGAGGGGCGGGGCCTGACGGAGGAACTAGGACTGAGACCTAGCAGAGAAGGCGCCGGCTAGCGAGGGACTCAGGTGAGTCCTGGGGAGCTAGAGGTGTGAGGACCACGGGTGGGGCCTGAGGCTTGGGGTGGAGGCCAAGTGCTTGGGAGGGAAGGGGCGGGAGGAAGTTGGGGCTTAGTAAAATAAGGGCCAGGAGGTCGTGAGGGCCAAAAGCCCTGCGAAGAGGGGGCGGGCCCAGGAGCAGGACCCAGCGAGGGTTAAAGGCAAGGCCAGCGGTTGGCCAGAGTTAAGGCAGGGGCGGGGCCGCAGGCGGAAACTTAAAGACGTTTGGGGACCTGGGAGAGAAAGGTGACCGAGTCTGGGGGTGTCCTAGGACAGGTCACCCAGCCCGACGTCACCCCTTCTCACTGTTGACTCCGGCCTCGCCATCGCCCTGCTTCTCCAGCAGCTGCTCCATGTTAGTCGTTCCGGGGGCCGCTGGGTCCAACTGGCCGCCCCCGCAGGGTGCTGTCTGGTCGAAGAGTGCTGGGAGACTGCTGATAGGGGACCTGGGGTCAGAAGGGAAAACCGAGCTCAGGCTTACCTCACTCCCCCACTCCAGTCTCCCTGCCCTCCTCCTCCCGCCTTAGGGGTTTCAGTCATCCCCTCTGGACCCCACCCTCTTCCCCGCGCCCGCCTCTCCGCTCTCTCCTCCCTGACAGTCCCTCCACCCCGCTCCCAGCCCCTCCCCCAAGCCGCCACTCTCTCCCTCACATGGAAGACAGACTCTCCTGGGGGGAGGTCCCCCGACATCGGAAGCTGCAGTCCTCCAGGTCTGGCTCTTTGAAGGAGAAGAGGGGCAGGGATCAGCGAGGAAGAGGTGCCGTCGGCCTCACAGTCCCCGCCTGGGAAGTGGGTGCGGGACCTGGGACCGTACCGCAAACCCCTTTCCCCAGGATCTCCCAACCCCAGATAGCCAGTTCTAGTTCTTAAGGCGCTGGGAGCCCTGGCCTGGAAACCCAGCGCCGTGGGAGGCAAAGCCATGAGATCTCGTCCCTTCCTCCTTCTCTAGGCAGAAAGGCTCCTGCAGCCTGGCTACTTTCAGATCCACCTCCTAATTTTTCTCCTGGAAAACTTACAACTTCAGAGTCATAGAAACTTGGGGCCTACACAGTCCTGAGTTGAACTTGGATATGATACTTACTTGCTGTGTGACCGTGGGCTTGAAACTAACCTCTCTGAAGTGATTGTTACGAGGATTAAAATAAGGTAGTAAATGTGAAGCGTTAATCTGAACGGTTTAGCTGCCATGAAGCAAGGCCTTAATTACTGTAGCTATTATAATCAGTTTTATATGACTTTTATATTAATAAACTAAAAAATTAGACGTCAAAACCCTCTGTTGGGCCACAGAATTCCACTTTGCGTTTTGGAAAAATACAGCCACCTACTCTGTAGGGTTCTTAATTCTGGAATCAGATTGGCCCCCTTAAGGCTTACCTGAACTCGTAAGCCCCGCCCTCCAGCCGGCCAGGTGGTACCTCTGCACCAATCAGCTCTCTGGGGCTGGGTTGACTCTCCAGGGAGAGGGAGGGGCACTTGTGATCCGCCCCCTTAACTCCTAAATACCCAGAGAGGCTGTTGTCCAGCTGGTGGGATCTCTGTAAACTCTGATCCCAAGAACTCACTAAGAGGCCAGCAGGGAGCTAGGCTACAGCAGTAGGAGAGCTAGGCTTGGAGCCAGGGTACCAGAATTTCAGCTGCTGCGCTGCCTTTCCCTACCCCAACTGCCTTGAGCAAGTCATTCATCTCTCTGCCTTTTTGTTTGTTTTGTCCTGTCCCGCCTCCTCACGGGGGTTTTAATGTGAAAGTGTAGGTTTGTTGTGTGTGGAATGTTTTTTTTGCAGGGTGGGCAATGGCCAGAGGGTGCGGGCAGCCAGAAAGCCCTCCCATCCTTTCTGGGGTGACAAGCAGGTGACAGGTGCCCCTCAGGCCTTTGGGAAGAAAGGGGAATGGGGTCAGAGGCTCACATACCTGTGTGGCTGCTCTCGGCTTGGGTGAGGAGGGGGTTAACGGCACCCATGGGGGTTCCAAAGATGTGGGTAGAAGGGAGACTAAAGGTGGAGCCAGCCAGAGAAAACACCTGAGGGAAAGGAGGTAGAGTCCAGCCTGGTGGTTATTCTTGGATCTAGAGCACAACTGTGTGCACCGGGGTGGAGGGGACCAGGTGTGCTGGGGAGGAGAGAGGACCAGAGAGAGGGAGAAGTTCTGGTGGTGATCAAGCCCAATCTCTCAAATTCCCACGGAAAGCTGGGGTCCTCAGCAGGCTGTCCCCCACCTGCCCAGGGATGGCGGAGCCCAGGAGGAAGGCCTCACCTGAGTGGTGGAGATAGAAGCAGAGGAGGAAGGGAGGGTGCTGGTGAATGGGGAGCGGCTGAGGCGGGGCAAGGCCGAGGTCCCTGGGGGCCCCAGAAGGCTGGAGGAGAGGGGGGTGCTGCAGACAGCCCGCAGCATTCCACCACCGTGGGAGATGGGGTCCTTATTACTGGTGTAGATGCCTACAGGCACAAGACAGACACAGAGGGAAGCTTAGAGTCACCACTCCCCCATGCCCCACCTTAGTCAGGTGGCTAGAGCAGCCTCTCTCCAAGGAGAACACTCCCCTGGATCTGGCTACACACCAGTCTCACCCTCTTGCTGCAAAGATGTCACTTCTTGCTTGGGTGACATCTGCTTGCCATGCCTGCTTATTCCACTGCCCTGCTAAAGCCTGGAGAATTCCCAGTTTTTCTAATTCCCCAACCCAAACTTGGTTAAGTCCTGTTGGCAATCTCTCCCGCTACAACCATGCAGAAAATGGGTATGGGGGAGTGTCTCAGAGGTGACTGTCACCTGCATCCTTTGTCTTTTGGAGCAGTTTCTATCACATTTCCTTCTAACTGCATGTCTGTGCCTCTGTCCCCTCACAAGACTGGCTGGGCCCTGAGATACCCTCCATCCCCAAGGGTCACTAACCTGCCCCCAGCAGTGGGGACTCCAGGCTCAGGCTGGGCAGGCTCCCGGAAGGCCCAAAGGTACGGGAGGCCAGACCACCCAGGCCAGAGCTGACAAGGGAACCTCCGGAGAAGGGTGAGGCAGCAGTGGCGGTAAAGCCAGCCAGCTGGGCACCGGGCAGGGAGGGAAGGGCCGGGCCCCCGCTGCCCTCCTTGTTGCGGCTGCCCTTGGGACGGCCTGGCCCGTGTCGGCTCCTCTTGCTGGCTTTGTGTTTCTTCTCCTTCAGGCCTGTCTCAGGGGCCTCCTCAGCAGGCACAGGGGCGGCACTCAGCGTGGGCATCCGCTTGTGGGTGCCTGCTGAGGCCCCGGACCCCGAGACGTGGGGTGACTTATAGTCCCCAGGGGACGGGGCCCGGGCCCGGCCCGAGCTGGAGGTGGTGGTGGAGAAGCGCATGATGGGCCCAAAGCCAGAGAAGACCACCTTCTGCTCAAAGAGGTCAGACTTGGGGGGCTCGGGGGCTGAGGGAGAGGGAGGAGCTGAAGGGGGGCACGCTGTGGGCTTGGAGTACTTGTCCTCCTCTGGCTGCTCCAACTTGGGGAATGCAGAGAAGTCAGGGGAGCTCTGCAGGGACGAAACTGCAGAGGGGGAAACGGAATTACAGCTGGACCCCAGATCCCCTGCCTCCCTCCCGCTCAGTGTGCACTAGTAGAGAGAGCTCTGGTCAGGGGATGGGGAAGCTGAGTTTCCTGTCCCAGCTTGGCCACTGTCTCTGTGTCCTGGGACGAGTGTCCCCGCCCTCCAGCTTTCCCACCTGTGATAAAGCAGGAGAGTAACTCCCACCCTAGTGAGCTCTCTCGGTGACTGCAGACATGACAGGAGATTAGAGTTGGTGCTTTAAACGTGGTACCTGACAGCATAAGTGCAGGGGATAATGAATATGGTTATGGGGGTTGGAGAGGTGGGCCCTGAGGGAGGCTGGAGGGGAGTTCCACCTCGAGAGGAGACTGAGGGGAGTCACTTGGTGGGGATCCCCCCCACCCCAACCACTTTAGGAAGCAGATGAGATGCAAACCAACATAAAAAGGCCCTTGGTAGAAAAGCTCAGGGCCGAAGACTGTCCCGCTCCCAGCCTCCTCCGGGACGCCCACACTCACCTGCAGGCTGGAAGGGCCCCCCAGAGGAGGAGGAGGAGGAGGAGGAGGCGGAGGTAAAGCTGCTCACACCTTTCCCACTGCTCAGCTTCTTTCCCTTGTGACTCAGGCCATGGCTGGAAGACTTTTTCCCCTTTGAGTCCCTGCTGCTTTCAGAAGTCTCCTGAGTGCTGGCCTCGTGGTGGGAGGAGGAGGAAGCTGAGGAGGAGACCTGAGGGAAGGAGCAGAGGAAGGCTCGAGGCCGCCCCCCAGGGCCTGGGCTCACCCTGACTTGAGAGTGGAGCAGGAGGACACAGGACCTAGGGCTCTACTTGGGGAGCCCAGAGTAGCTTAAGGAAGGATTTTCGGGCAAGGGGATAGTGGCAGGAGTTCCTAGACCAGGGAGATGGGGAGGCAGCTCTGTAACCTCTGGGTGTGAAGAGTTGGGAGCTCTGAACCCAAGAAACTGTCTGTCCTTCACCTCGGGCAGGCGAGAGATGAAAACAGTCTCAGAGCCTGTACTGATGCACTTATCTTCTTAGTCATTCATTTAAGAAATACTTAGGGGCTTCCCTGGTGGCGCAGTGGTTGAGAGTCCGCCTGCCGATGCAGGGGACGCGGGTTGGTGCCCTGGTCTGGGAAGATCCCACATGCCGCGGAGCGGCTGGGCCCATGAGCCACGGCCGCTGAGCCTGCGCTCCGTAACGGGAGAGGACACAACAGTGAGAGGCCCGCGTACCGCAAAAAAAAAAAAAAGATGCTAAGGGCTCTCAATGGATTAAGTAGACAGCATGCAAGAATAGATGGACAACAGAAGCAGAGAGATGGAAGTTCTAAGAACCAAAAAGAAATGCTAGCAATCAGAAATACTGTGACAGAAATGAAGAATGCTTTTGATAGGATTTCTTAGTGGATGGACACTGCTAAGGAAAGAATCTCTGAGCACGAGGATATCTCAATAGACACCACCAAAACTAAAAAGCAAAGAGAACAAAGACTGCAAGACACAGAACAGAATATCCAATAACTGTGGGATAACTACAAAAGGCATAACATGCATATAGTGGAAATTCTAGAAGCAGAAGAAAAAAAAAAAAAAAAAAAGAAATACTTAGGCTTAGAGGGCTGGACTTGTGTTGGGAAGTGGTGTACGCAGGGAAGAGGAACTCCAAGGAGAATGGCCCCATTCCTGGGCCCTCCAGTCCCCACCACTCCCTCCATGCTCACCCCCAGATGCAGCCACCTGGCCGACAGCCCGCTCCCTGGCCACCCCATGCCCTTCCTGAGCTTCCATGCCCAGCCCTCTGCCCGGAGAGCCTAGCCTTCCTCTTCCCGGGAAACATCTTCTCCTTCCAAATCCAGCTCGAGAGCCCCCTCTTCCGTGAAGTCACCCTATAGCTACCTGGGGTGGAACAAATCTTTCTGTCCTCTTATTTCCCGGGTATCGTGTACCCACCCACATCAGCCATCAGGTGCCACACTGTACTGCAAGATACGGTCCCCCACGTCTGAGGGCGGCAGCAGTGGCTGGAAG